CCACCCCCCCCCCCCACCCCCCACACACACACACAATCGTTTCGTGTTGAGGCCTGTCATATATAGTAAACCTGTATATTTTCTGTTGCCGTGTTCTGGACTGTACCACGAGGACTATATGCGCACTAAACCATGGGCCTCGCTCGCCCTTCGTGTGAGAGGTGCCTATGTGTTTCTGGTATAAGACGTCCTGCGTTCCTATCCCACTAGGGTTGACGTTGCCAGGGTTTAGGGTTTTAGGCTATTGCTGCGCGTGTGCTTGTGCCTGCCAACCGATTCAGGGTTCTTGCGGTTTTACGTGTACCGCAGTCTATCAACACATGTTTATCTAAAGGGATAAAGATGTGTAAATGTAGTCTATATCGACACATCTTTATAGGCTGACAGTCAAATTTAGGTGTCTATTAATCACGGCCACTTCATTCGTTTTATCATTCTGTGTGCTGTAGCGACCAATTGTCATACGCGCTATAGCGCGTACCTGCGAGCACATAGCCTGGCCTTCACAATCGCACCACCATTATGTATACGTTTATGTTCACTTTTTGATCGAACCACAGCCACTCAGTCTTGTTCATCCTGGGTCCGATTTTTATCTGCAGGTGATGAGGCTATTGATGTGAAGGTGGAACACCAGTTGGAAATTGATGAAGCTGTGCTCGATGACCAAGACATGGAGAAACTCAAATTAAACGAAAGCAGCGCCAAATAGGCTAATTGATAAATGATATCACAATAACACGATGTTTTAATGATATTACAATTATACGAGGTCCTATTGTAGTAAGCGGCAACAACCGTGTAGAACAAATGCTTATGGCAGAATCAATCACATCAAACAAGCATTCCACAGTCCACGTAGTTATGTATACTTAAGATACAATCAATCAAACCAAACATGTACTCCACAGTCCCCGTAGGTATTTATTCATGTATGGAAAATCGTATCATACAATCAATCACATCAAACATGCACTCCACAGTCCACGTAGGTAATTATACATGTATGAAAAATCTTATGAAACAATCAATCGCATCAAACATGCACTCCACAGTCCACGTAGGTATTTATAATGCATGAAAAAGCTTATGAAACAATCAATCACATCAAACATACACTCTACAGCCCACGTAGGTATCTATAAATGTATGAAAAAGCTTATGAAATAATCAATCACATCAAATATACACTCCACAGCCCACGAAGGTATATATACATGTATGGAAAAGCTTATGAAACAATCAAACACATCAAACATACACTCCACAGCCCATGTAGTTATGTATTTCTACTGTATACTGTATGAGCTATGGAGTATACTACCCCAATTATTAAAGAAATGTGCATTGTGATT